TGAGCTAGGATGACGCCACGGCACTCTAGGCCAGGCCACACAGTGGGATTCTGTCTCAAAAAAAAAAAAAAAAAAAAGAAGGGACATTGATGCAACCTGAGGTGCTAGAGAAAGTTTTCCTCATAAGGCAGAACTGGAATGACAGGAAAAGTGGATCTACCACTCGACACTTAGAATTCACACCACATTTCTGCTTGTTCCTATATATTGCTCTGAAATTTTGGTAGCCTTTGACCACCAGGTTAAATGATGAAACTGAATGAGAAAATATGAGACTATTACATGTAGTAAGGTAAATTTGGTTTCAAGAAATTTTGTTTCACTTGCGGGAGACAGAAGGGGTAAAAGGAGAAAACTGGATCAGAACATGAAATATATTTCATAATTTTTATTTCTCAATGGTCAGAAAAACTTGAAAAACATAGCTTGCTGAATGGGTTTTTGTCTAACAAACTAGGTAATAGGTTACATAGGTTTTCTACCTCTCATCTTCTCTCTACAAAAGCCTAAGTGATAACCATATTCAGCAAGTGGTAGGGCCACAGGTACTGATAGTAGGTATCCAGAGGCTTCCAGATCAAAGAAGATATCTGATGAGGCATTATTAATACAATGTTATAATGCAGCTAACAAAGAACTAAAAATAAATGATCTCACAGAATTACCTAAACAGAATACTATTCCAAACAAAACTTGTTTTTCTTTAAACACCTACTATAGAAGAAAAATAAATCATAAAGGTACTTTAAAGATGGAATGCCTATTTCCTACCAAGAAATAAATATAATTTTTAAAAATCCAAATAAAATTTCTAAAGAAAGAGGCTTGTTTTAAAGTCAAGGAAGGTGTATGTGAATGGGGGATGGGGGTTAATAAAACCAAGGATTCTGTTGATGAAATCCTGAATATTTACAAAATAAAGTCAAATGTAAATTTAAATTATTTTTCCCTAATGATCACAATGATGCTTTTCAACTAAAGCAGCGTGAAGATAGCTGGGACAGGAAAGAGGCAGTAAATGAAGAAAAACCACTAAAGTAGAGACAGAGGATGGAAATTATCTTAAGAGGTTTTCTTGTTAATAACAGCTTGTTAGCCAAAGCTACATAGTAAACTAGTGTTTCTCTTTTTTTTTTCCTCTCCCTCCCCTCCAAGTATTTCTCTAAGGATTAATCTAACAATGCAAGGGGACTTACTAGGAGACCTGGAGCTGGAGGGAGAGGTGTTTCTTACAGTAATGTGCCCATCAGCTCCTTGCAGTTAGTTCCTCTTTAGTGAACTACATCTGTTCTTCTAATAGACACAGGAAAAGTGTATTACATTTTATTTTAAGGTGCATTTGACCACTTCATTTTGCCATAGTATTTTAAAATTTTAGCATGTTCTTTTTTTAAAACAACAGACAGGAATTCTCTATCTGGGTTGGAATAAACAGCAAAGTTTTTATCCCATTAATAGAAAAAATTTCCTGTCAAGCCTATGAAGAGCCATTTTAAAGCACCACTTATCATACCCCTTGGGCCTCAGACTGAACTGACTTTAAACTAAGGCCACTGTTTTAGATAACTTACTGTTATAACTTGAGTTCCTTTAGGATTTTCATGTGAATAGAAAAAAAAAAAGGAGAAACATTTTCTTTGCTCCAGGGAACACACATCCTTACTGACATCTAACTCTTAGGCATGCAAGCAAAAGCATTCAAATTCTCAAGCTCTGATTTGTTGCTGTGAATAACAGCTTGATTTATAAGTCATATTGCTTTAAGTTTTCAGTAATGAAAAGGGGGATCTTTCCTCGTAAACAGCAAAGTTTCTGAAAGTAAAACTTTAAGGTATCTGACAGTCCTTGAAAAGTAACAAAGAAACCAAGTCCTTCTCTGCATATCAACTTGAAAAAAAAAAAGAAAAAGAAAAAGAAAGAAAGAAACCTTACCTTACAAAAGAACTGGACATGAGTCCAATGAATCCAACAGCAGCACCCACAACAGCTGTTTTCCGACAACCAAATATGTCTGTGAAGACACTGACTATTGGGCAGCAAAAGAAAATCATCCCCATGGAGAGAGAACCTACCCATGCTGTAAAAGAGGGGAAAGAACAGGGAACACATTATGACATGGTAAATTATATTTGTACTTATTCCATTGGATATAATACACATTTAGAAAAATATTAAAGCAGAAAAGGTATTACCCAGATTGATGAATAAGAGAAAAATTGGAATAAATTGGCACTTTCAAGAAAAAAACTCTTGCACGAGTCTTTGCGAATTACTGTGAGTTGTGATCTACTGCTAACCAAATATGAAAAATTACAGATTTTTATGTCTATTGAACAAGCACTAACAGCAAGATATAATTAAATATAACTTCTTGTCTTGACTATCCTCTTAAAATTTTATTCAGTGGGGAAAAATTTTCCTCTGCCACTAGACGACCACTTCAGCAGGACTGCATGATTCTTTTGGTCAATGTTAAATATTAATAACAGAAAGGCCTATGGTCTCTTTAGGTAATAAACCCATCTTCACTAGGTAATCAGATCTCTTCCCAGCTGCTTCTTCTCTTTTTCATGACCTCCTCTCCCCCCCACCCACCTGTGGGTTCTTTGCAAGGTGGGAATGGGAAAGAGGGAGGCTGGGGGAAGGAAGGCAAGGAGATTCGAACTTGAGCAGTCCTGCCAAAAAATTTGTCTGATGATGTTTGAAGCTCTTTTTCTCTCAGATGCACTTTTGTCGGTTCTTCAGAGTCTCACCTCAGAGTTCCTCCTAGCTATACAGCTCCACTGACTTGGATAATTCCTTCTCTTCCTGGCTTTTTGGCTGTCACTCAAAAGACTCACTGTCAGAGCCTCTTAGCCCTTCCAGGCAGTCTATTTGGGCAGAAGTCAAAACAGCTCCAGGCTACCTCTCTCCTCCAATAGGTTTGCCTCTGATATGTAGGAAGCACTCAGATTTCCTTAGCCCTGACAAAGGTTGGAGTGAAGGCAAATTCCAACACAGCCACCTCTTGTATAGCTCTTGCTGTGGAAGTAGTTAGCCGACCACAGTTATTTCCTTCTTGGTTTTCTTGAGGAGTCAAACTCCAGTCCTCTGTGCCCCCCAGATGAGGAGGATTCTTTAAATCATGCCTTACATATGTGTTTCCCCCTTCTATTCTTCACATGATAATAGATACACAAAAAGTATCAAATCAATGAATGAATGGGAACATTCAATCTTTGAAAGGGAAGTTACTGTTAGATATGTAATATCCAATCTCCCTACCTTTTTCAAAGAGGGCTGAATCTAAATCTATCTCCTTTGTCCACAATAAAACATTCCTCCCTCACTCCAGCAGCAGGCTTCTCTGAGAAGCCAGAAAAGAGTTCTTCTTACACATAAAACTAAAACTGCTTACAGCATAGTATCAATCATTTCTATACTCTTGCTCAGTGAAAATAGCCCTATTAAGATTTTCTTGAATTTCTCAGGATACCCTTGTTCTACTGTAAGATTTACAGAACTAAGTCCTATGTAACAATGAAGAACTTTTTTTTAAGTTATCTCTAATAAAAATGTTGAACAGAATGAAGCTAAGGACTAAGACTTGAAAGGAAACATAAGTTCTATTTACCAAATTTGTATGCAACATATTCATTCATTTAACAAATATTTATTGAGTGTGTATAATGTATGTGCCAGCACTATTCTAGGTGCTGAGGAAACAGCAGTGAATAAAACAGACACAAATCTTACCCTCATGGAGCTGCCATTCTAATGGAGGACAAAAAGCTAGAAAGTATGATTGATATGCTGGTTGGCAAAATTATGACTTGAAATCCTTTAAAAGAGGAGCATTTTACACGTAAGGTTCAGAAATTAAATGGAAAAATATCAATGAGAAGGAGATATACAGTTTTATTCATGCAATAAACATTTATTGAGTCAGACTGCTGTGCACTGGGGATCTCAAGTCCCGAATCTCAAGAAGCTCATATTCAAGAGAGACAAACAGCAAGGAGAGAATAGTGAATAGTATTCATAATTGACCAAGGTATATACCATTTATTATGGGACCACTTAGCGGGGGTACCCAGCCCAGATGTGGGAGGGAAGGGATAATCAGACACTCTTTCCTTAGGGTAACACTCAAACTGTCTTGAAGGATGAACAGGCTTTAATCAGGCAAAGGACAGAGGAAAGAGGAGACAGAAACATTCCATGTAGAGGGAAGAGCACGCACAAAATTAAGTTACCTAAGGATGCAGCCAGAATCACAGCAAGCCATGTGTCATTCCAATAATTACAGACTTTAGATGCTAGGGAACCATCAATAGGTTTAACCTTGGAATTACATGATCAAACGGCATTTTAGAAACGTCACTTTGGCAACAATTTGGAGAGCAGACTATTCATAGGGGAGACTGGGTGGAGGTCTGTTGGAAGGCTGTTGCAAGTGACAACTGACAATGGTCTGAACTCAGAAGTAGCAGGGTATCCAAGGAGACAGATTTGAAAGATGTGAGTGATTAAATCAATAGAACATATGATCATTAGATGTAAAAAGATGGAGGGAGTGGCAATAAGGTTGGCTTTTAAGAGATCTAGCCAGGTGGCAAAGTGAGGAGAGGACAGAGGCAGAGTCTAAAAATAAAGAAAATGAACAGGTTTGGGGAGTGGGAAAAGGAGGAGATTGATGCATTTGTTTGAAAATGAAAGCAACTTACTCAATATGCCTGAGTGTAAGGCAAATTTCTTTTTCCAAAATTACTCCTCAGAGAAGAAAAAGTTCTTTACATTAAACCCTCTTTTGAAGATTCCTCGTATTATAGGGAACTTTCTGGATTTCTATATTTTGAACAAATTATTGTTTGGGAAAGACAAATAAGCCTGAAACTACCTTAACTGTTGCTGGGTTTGGATGCTACTAGAGGTCCCCTTAAGGATGGAATCGGCTTAAAAGAAGCAAAGAAATTTAACACAGATTTATAATTTTCCTGAGAGCATATCTCGCATTTGCAAATTTGCATGTTATAAATTTCAAAAAGCAACACAGTAAGTAGTTATGTGGTGGAGATCACAAATATGCTCCCATATTTGTGGTGCATATTTGTGAATTAAAAAAAAAAACTATTCTAATATTGTGCAAGCAGAGACTTGTCACAGGGAACCTCCTTCATTTCCTGGCCTCTGTCCCATTCAGGGACTTCCCAGTGGAGTCAGCTCAGGGCCTGTCTCCACCCCCTCAGTGACTACACCTGGGGAAGAGAACCTATCTGATTGATGCTTTTGGTAGAAGGAACTAAGCATGCTTGGTCAGCTCCTTCTGGGCTTCTCTTGTCTTTAGTAGTGGCCTGTTCTTAGGAGATCCAAGTTCTCTAATAATCCACGCTTACAGGGCAAAGCCTGCAGGAGAGGTTTACAGCTGACCAGCTCACTTGTGAGGACCAGACCAACCCTCATCCTTCAAATGCAGAGGGAGGTATTAGATCGCCACAGATGATCATGATGATAATGATGATAGCTGGAATTTACTTAAAATCTACTGTGTTGCCAGACATTGTAGATGATGCATATATATTAAGTGTCTTAGTCTGTTTTGTGATGCTATAACAGAATACCAGAGACTGGGCAAATTTATAAAGAAAAGACATTCATTTCTCACAGTTCTGGAGGTTGAGAAGTCCAAGATCAAGGGGCTAGCATCTCATAAGGGTCTTTTTGCTGAGTCATAACATGGCTAAGGCATCACATGGGTGAGGTGGGGGCCAGGAAGGGGGTCACACTCATCCTTTCATAAGGAACCCATTCCTGTGATAATGGCCTTAAAGATCTCTTAAAGGTCTCTCCTCTCAATACTGTTGCATTGGGAATAAAGTTTCCAACAAATGAACTTTGGGGGACAAATTCAAACCATGGCATCAAGTCACTTAATATCCACAGCAATTCTATGAGGTTTACTCAGTTGAGGAAACTCAGGCACTGTTAGGCACTCAAGCTGGAATTTGAGCCCAGTGCCTTCACTCTTAGCCACTATGCTATACTGCCCTTTACCTGATTTAACCCAAAATTTTAACAGTGTATATTAAGAGGATGAGAAAAGGCATAGTATAAAAGAGTTAAATCTTCCTCTTCCATGGGAGCAAGTCTGTAGATAAAATATACAAAATACAGCCATATAGGCATATTGTTTGGAAATATGAAGGTAACCATAAGAAATAGCTAAAAGAGTTGAAAGCAGATGCCTTTGGAGTAGGGTGCCCAAGGTGAGAGGGAGTCGGGCAGGGGAATGCTACTTTTCATTATAAGCCTTATAGAAATATGATCTTTTATACTGTATACATGTAAACTTTGATAATCATAACAATTTTTGGAAGAAAACTGACAACACCTTTGTTGAAATAAATCAGGGAATATGACCAAGTCCCTGCTTTTAAAAATCATATGATCCATTATGGTGAAATGACTTAATAAAACTACCTAACGAATAGCCCGAACTGAGAATGACACTCGTGAAAGTGGTGTGGCCTTGCTCAAGATTTGAGAACTCTGATCAAAATTCCTGGGAATAGATTGAATCTGTGGGTCAGGTATCAAAGACAGAAGCAGGTTCCCTAAGCCAAGTCAAAGCACAATTTCTCCTGATTAGGGGTGGGAATGGGGGGGACAAAAAACAGTCTTATGTTCATAACTAGTTTTGTCTGAGCTATAATAATTGTTCAATTACTAGCTTGTCAGAATCCTTGAAAACATAAAGACATCATTCCTTTAGCAATGAGAATGTTTGCAGTGTGAAGGGGGAAATAGAAGGTTAAGGTAATAGCTACAGAGGAAACTAGAGAAGGGTCCTGACGATAACAGGCTGCTATGTCAAACGGTATCAATTCTACCAAGGAAGGCAAATATCAGGCCAGCATAAGTAGAGAAAGATGACTATTTCAAAAAAGTCCTGTGTGAGATATTGGAGAATTTAAAAGTGATTTGAAATCATAAAGCTTCATCTTGCTATTTAATAGCAGCATGTATTGTTTTTAAAAAGTCAAAAGAAATATTATACCTTATAGAGCTCAGAGAAATAAAAGAGTAAACTAGATCATT